GGGCGCGGAGGCTTGCTAAAAACGAATGAGGATCTAACCTACTCGTGATACCATCTTAGAATAGGAATGCAACGAAATGGTCGAAACTAGAAAGTGTGAGAGAACAAATATGCAACCCTAACAACTGTACTCCCTATTGTGCTACTCACTGTAGCCTACAGGCATAGAATTACATTTGTCAGACTCGCCCTGCACTGAGCCAATCATCGAGCCCGAAAAGATTACGAGCCATCGGATTCGACAACCTACGGGAATCAGGAGTATCGAGTTCCTCGTTCGCTGGAAGGATCGCACGCCAACTGAGGATAGCCGGATGTCCCTGGCCAACATTGAAAACCACCCTGCCTTGCAAGTATACCTCATGAGTCGGGGTTTCCGCGGTATACACGCACTCGCGTAGCGGAGGGGGCTTCTTGAGGGGTGGGGGGGGGGAATAGTGTAAGGAATTTTCTCGACATTCCTTACCGCGACCTACAACATCGCATACGGCAGCAGCCATTGTTCGCCCGTTACTACTAACGGGGCTTCGCCAACTTTGCGCGCACTGTTTCACCTAATCATGCACCGCTGGCCCGGCCGTGTCGGTCTATGCTTCGGGACTAGCCCGAGCCTCGATGCCAGCCTAGCACTAGCTAGCTCGCATGCACCGCGTTACCGTTTGGATGTTTCGTGCATAAGGGCGCTTCACCTGAGGGGCGGAAGGCCAAAATCCGAACCGACGTATCAGTTTGACTGTACGAACAGTATCCCAAATGAGTTCTAACACAAATACGTACAATGAGCGAATGTGACACAGGCCATCACAGGTGACGCCATCGCTATTCGCACACGCGGTCTGTTCGAACACAGCGACGTCGCCCACAAAAGAGCGACGTCGCCAAACATTGGGTCCCTCGCTTGTGTGTTTCCTCGCTTGGGTCGCAAACGTTCATGGGCGACCCGGGAGACTGTGGACCAATCATATCAGTCGTTTGTGCGGAATTGTGTGTCACCTATCCCAACCTGTTCGAACAAACGTGTTCGAACGTGCGGGATGATGAAAATCGTGCTTGAGGTGACAGCTCTGTTCAGATTGGCGAAATTGTGCTTCGCGACGTCACGATCACCACTACGAACATAGGCGAAACGAGTAACAATTCGCCTGTTCGAACGAGTGTGTTGTTCGAACCGACAGGTGAAGCGCCCTAAATGTTCGCTCATGCCTTTGCTCACATTTTGGACTCGTTTCACGGGAAATTATACGCGCAGTCACAATTTTGGCCGTATTATCACGTTTGGTCACGAGGTTATCACGGACAGTCACAGTACAGTACTTCGCTATCACGTGTGATCACAGCGCTATCACGCGTGGTCACACCTCGCCCCGCAGGGTTATCACGTTTGGTCACTCGTTGAAACGCCCGCCAAAAAGTCGAAACTCTCAAATCTACTGTACAGATTCGGGTACTATTATCTCGCGCGCGTTTTGTCTGTAGTGAAAAACGTGATGTGACTGTCGAAATATACTCGGACCTTGTTAGGGACCGATGCAGTTTAATGCACAGTCCGCATGTTGCAGTGAATATAAGCGATCAATAACAGTTTCGATTATACAATTAGTTTAGGGTGTGCATTTCAGAAGCAGCGTCGATTAGTCTCTCACATTGTAATTGATACCTTGACATTATGTTTTGCACGCGCAGTAATAAATAACCCAATTAACCCAAGTCCAAACCCTAATTTGATCACTTACGAGCAAGTCAGGTAGATGGAGTGATGTGTTGGGTTTGGTTGTACTTGCTACAATCTGATTCGGCAAGATCGAAACATCTGTTGTATTTTCACTATTGACTCAAATTTGTAGTCCCCGGACTTGGGTTAATTGGGTTATTTATTACTGCGCGTGCAAAACATAATGTCAAGGTATCAATTACAATGTGAGAAACTAATCGACGCTGCTTCTGAAATGCACACCCTAAACTAATTGTATAATCGAAACTGTTATTGATCGCTTATATTCACTGCAACATGCAGACTGTGCATTAAACTGCATCGGTCCCTAACAAAGTCCGAGTATATTTCGACAGTCACATCACGTTTTTCACTACAGACAAAACGCGCGCGAGATAATAGTACCCGAATCTGTACAGTAGATTTGAGAGTTTCGACTTTTTGGCGGGCGTTTCAACGAGTGACCAAACGTGATAACCCTGCGGGGCGAGGTGTGACCACGCGTGATAGCGCTGTGATCACACGTGATAGCGAAGTACTGTACTGTGACTGTCCGTGATAACCCTGTGACCAGACGTGATAATACGGCCTAAATTGTGACTGCGCGTATAATTTCCCCTCGTTTCACACCTTAGTGCAATCCTCGCTACTTCGATTCATTGCACCCGTAACAATACGCGATATTACACCTTGGATCTTGCTGGGTGGCTCACCAGGTCGCTGTAATCACACCACAATCAGTTCACATGGTGTCGACGTATTCGTGCGGTGGAAAGTGCACTTTCGAGTCGAAATCTGGTTGGCCGTTGATATTCTGTTATGCCACCACGCATGTGTCACACAACTCGCAAAATGATTCAGTCACGCGTCTGACTCAGCAGACAGACAGCCTCTCTGTCGTGCGTGCTAATGAGCGTCATCCTTTTTTCGAATCGCCCGGTTTCATGCCTCCTGTATGCCACGCCATGGCACTCCGCTGGCCTCTCCCATTCCCAAGCCCCACTGGGTTTATCCGCTCCGCAACCCTTTTGTGTGCCTATGTGGAGTACGAAGATCTTCCCTCAAACGAAACAGGGTGATCCATTGGACGAAGATAACGACGTGGCGCTATCTCCTGTCAGCAATAAATCCAACTTTCACATCAGTTTGCAGAGACAGCTCGCGTGGTGGTCAATTGGCTTCTGGCAGCCAGCCCAGCAGCTTGCCCGCTCTGGGGTAACTGGCACTCGACCGTTGATGTCAAGTCCCCTCGGGACAACCACTTCGCTACACCATGGAAAGAATGTAAAACCCCTCGTCCACCCAATGAGGTGTGACCTTAGGACGTGGGCCCAATCGACTTTGATAGTCTCTGATCGGATCGGTTTGTGTCGGATCGGATTGCTTGTGATCGTTTTTCTCGCGCCGCCCGATCAGAGATGATTTTCCTCGAATGTTTTTCGCTCTTGCATGAAAACTGTCGGCCCATTACCTGGTAGTTGCATCCCAACTTTGGCGATATGGACGAATGTTAGTATCGTGGTAATGTCGCCAACATGATCACCCAACGCACAGTTCTCGCCGATCTGGGTGAATTCGCAAGGATTTTCGAGACCTTATGGCGAGGTGTGTTACATTTCGCGTGCGTCGCCCAGGTCGCCGATCACATGCAATCAAGTGATTGGGGCTGATTGTGTCTGATCCGGTCTGATCGGGCGGTTTAGAAGCGGTTGATTGATTTTGCGCGATCAGCTGATCGCGATCAGCTGATTGCCCCTGATTGCCTGAAATCTGCAACCGCCTCTGATCGCGCCGATCAAAGTCGATTGGGCCCACATCCTTAGGGTCTACTTCCTCCTTCCCTCAACCTTAGCTGGCTGGCTTGGTGGAAAAGGAATTGTTGGGAAGGGAGTGTCAACGGGTGTGTTATTTCCTAACGCCTCTTTACTACTAGCAGGGTGGTTTGGCGCAGATCTTTAAGGTCTGGAAGTATGTATGATATTGGTCTGGTACACGGAATTTTCCTGGTAGCGTGGGCCATCAGCAGAATGCCCTTACCAGAGAGTCCAAGGCAGAAAAAACTAGTTCTTATTGGGGTCGTTGAGTTTGGTTCGGTCTCCTCGCAGCAGCCCCCATGGCTCCCTGAGCATCATTTGCGCGACAATACCGATGTTATCCAATCCACCCACCCACCAAACTGGCAACCCCTGCCAGCAGCAACACATTTCGCGCCCTTTTCAGCCTCCAACAAAGCACGGACTGTGACTCTGCTCCTGAGATAGCCATTTTGCTGCTCCTCTGCTACTGCTGCTGCACTGCCACTGATTCTGGTTGAAGCTAAGATAGTTGAAACTGATCATCTGGTTGAAGCTAAGGGAGATTACTGGAAGTGGTTAAGCGAACTGGTTGGCAGTTGAGTGAAGCTTAGTTCCGAGTGCGAGAAAACCAGCGTGTGCAAGGCGCAGCAGATAGTTACTACGCCATTTCTGTGAAGTCTTGTACTGAAACGAGGTATGCCTACTTTTCCTCTTATATCTGCTGCTCTTCCTGCTGAGTTTTGTGAGAACCATAAGTGAAACGTAAAGCAGCCGTCGTCGACATTAACCAATGCGTCACCGCTTGGAGAAGCATACACACCTACCAAGTCGAACGACATATTGTTCTCCTTTCTTTCTTACGTTTTTTTTTCTCGTACAGACTTGAATCATTTGTTGGTTTTTGCACACATTCGTTCCCGTTGTTTCCAGCTGTGCTTCTTCACTCCCATCTCGCTCTCTCATGCAACCTTAGAATCACTCCGACTAGACTTTGCTACAGTTGCTTAGCAAAAGCCGCAGAAATGTATTTGGCGTTGTGTGAATGGCGTGTTTGGAATCGCCGCATTCGTCATTTGACACGTCATTCGTTTTCATGTTACTTGTCAGTACATTATTCCCACCGTTTTTTTTTGTTGTTGGTTTTTTTTTTTTTTTTTTTTTTCTTTCGCCTTGCCAGCAGGTGACTCAAGCATCGATATTTATCTCTCGACCATCTCTCAAGCACCTCTCTTCGTTTCTGTAACCACACCACCATCACCCTTTTTCCGCCAGCAGAAGCCTACAGGGTGCCGACTAAACAGAGTGTAGCGACTGCACCATCCAAGAGTCTCGCAGCTAGTTCCCATCAAGTAGCAACCTTTAAGCTAGTTACTGTCAGCTAGTTTGCGTCAGATCGTTATCGTCAACGACCGAAGCAGTGTACTCGCTATAATTGACTCAGTGTAGGCCGAAAACTAATTCAACATGGCAGAGCCAGCTATGAGTTCTGCGACAATGTCGACCGCTGATACTAGCTCCCCCACCAACAGCACCCGCACCATGTCCACCGTAACCTCCGCCGCACCGTCCGCCGCTCCGTCCGGGCCACCCGTTTCCATGAGCTCGTCGAGCGTCACGGGCACCAAGGCTCTAGCGAAGCGCGCCATCCGCGTGGCGCAGGCCGTGGCCGACGCGCGGCTCGACAGCGCGTACGAAGACGCGTCGGAAGGATTCGACTATCACGACTCGGTGGAGGCCAGCAAGGGCATCACGCAGACGGACGGCGGACAAAGCGGTGCGCAAGGCGGCGGGAAACCCGGCGGCGCGCCGGTCGCGTCGTACCTGCAGCGCATGCAGCGCGGAGGGCTGATCCAAGCGTTCGGATGCCTCGTTGTGGTGGAAGAAGCGACGTTTAACGTGCTTGCTTTTAGCGAGAACGCTAAGGACCTGCTGGGGCTAATCCCGAAGCCCAAGACGGAGGAAGAGCTGGAGGTGGAGAAGAAGGCCGCCGAGGAGGAGGAGCGGAAGAAGGCGGAAGAGGCGGCGAAGGCGGAAGCGGCGACGGCGTCCCCAAGCAAGACGCCTTCCGGAAAGTCGGGCATTGGTGAGTAACGTCTGGGCGGGTTTTGGAGTGCGGGAGGAGTTCAGCGCGTGTTTGGAACCTCTCAGGGGGTTTCAGTCGGGCATTGCGCAGAATAGCTCGCGGGAGGAGTTTAACATGTGGGAGGAACCGGTTAGGCTAAAACTCAATCGAGACGTTTGATAAATCCTATGAGACGTCTCAAAACTCTTTACGTGTCCGAATAACTGGTGAGATGAACTTGTGTAGGAGGAACGATTTGTTCCGCCAGTCCGGCATTGGCAAGCCGGGCGCTTTGCGATCCATGGAGCGTAGTGCTCTCTCCCACTCTCCCCCTCGCCATCTCCCTTCGAATCCGTCTCCGCCTCTCTGCTTGTCTACCTTCTCCCTCCCCCCCAACCCCTTTGTCTCTCGTCTTTCGCTTCTCGCTCCTCGTTTCCCGCGTCCCTTCTCCCCCTCTCCTTGTTTGCTTTAACTCATTCACATTTTCCCTCCCTCACCGTTTCGCCTTGTCTCCTTCTCTCCCTCCCTCCTCGTTTCGTCCTCTCTCCCCGTCTCCCTCTCCCCCTTTCTTCCTACCTATTCCTTTATCGCTCTTCTTAACCCCCTCCCTCTCACCCGCCCAGGCCGCGCCTTCTCGTCCCTCAAGGATAAGATCTCCTCCGCGATTCGCGGGCACAACGTGGCAAGCTCTAAGCACTCCAAGGAACGCGGGCGTAGCACCGCGACTTCCGGGACCTCGGGCGGGCGCGTGGGTTCCCCCGCGCGCTCGCAGTCCCCCTCGCGCTCGTGGCGCAGCGGGTTCCGCGCAAGCCGCCGCGCGGAGGACTGGGAGGGCGCGCACTCGAACCTGAGCAAGGCGGGGGACGCGGAATCCGCTCCGCCGGCTCCGCCGCCGCTTCCGCCGCTCCCCGTGCTCGGTAAGCCAATGTCGTGACTTCCAAGGGGCGGGAAGAGCATTGGGGGGAGCATTAGGGGGGAGCATGGGGGGGAGCATGGGGGGGAGCATTGGGGGGAGCATTGGGGGGAAGCATTGGGGGGAGCATTAGGGGGAGCATCCATGTCCATGCATACACACACGCATGACGTCATCACACATCATGCTGTACGCGCTTGAGAATTGATGCAGAAAACAAAGCACTAGCACTAATCAGATTAGGAATATTTACAGCCATGCATGCATGCACGCATGCCATCAAATATCGTCATGCGTGGGTGTGTCATAACCATGCAAACACATGCGTGCTTAGAGTCGACTCAGCATACAGCACACATGGTCGTCGTACGGCGTATGTGCCAAGGCATACTCGCGCACATGGCTTTCTTTCCAGGCGCCTCAAAGGTCATGCGCGCTATACCTGTCTTCCCATCCCACTCTCAAACCCCCCTATCACATCAAAGGTCATGCGCGCATCCCATGGTCCCCATCTCCTCCCGTCCACCCTACCCACAACCCCCCTACCAACAATTTCGCGCCCGTTTTCCTCCCGAATAACCTCCATATTGTTCCCTGCACTCTTGAGACAGCATTTGCCGTTTGATCCCCCTTCACGCATAAAACTCCTGACATTGGACTGCGAGGTTCAGCCTTCCATCCTCACTCCCCCATCCATCCACCCCCCTCTTCTCCTCCCCCTCCCGTTCCAGATTTCGGGGTGGATGCGCGCTCCCTCTTCACTCCTGACAGTGTCACCGCCCTAGAAAAAGCCACAGGCGCGGCGGATCTGAGCATGATCAACCCGGTGTTGGTCGAAGCAGCTGTCTCCAACCGAGGCGACCATCGCCCCTTCTATGCCATCCTGCACCGCATCGACGTGGGCATCGTCATCGACCTCGAACCCATCCGCGACGCCGAAAACATCTTCACCGGCGCGGGGGCCCTCCAGGCGCACAAGCTCGCCGCCAAGGCCATCGCTAGGCTCCAACGCATGCCGCCCGGCGACATGATCAATCTCTGCCAGGCCGTCGTGGAAGAGGTGAAGGAGCTGACTGGGTATGACCGAGTGATGACTTATAAATTCCATGAGGATGAGCATGGAGAGGTGCTGGCCGAAGCCAAGAAAGAATCCATGGAGCCTTACCTCGGTCTCCACTACCCCGCGACCGACATTCCCCAGGCCATCCGTTTCCTGTTCATGAAGAACCGGGTTCGCTGCATCTGCGACGCATACTCTGATGAAGTGAAGGTGGTGAGGGATGAAGGGAGGCTCAAGCAGCCGGTGACGCTGGCGGGGTCGCAGCTGCGGGCGGCGCAGCGCTGCCACATCCAGTACATGCGCAACATGGGCACCACAGCCTCCATGACCATGGCGGTGATTATCAACGACGAGGACGCCGCACAGCCGGCTCAGCCGCAGGGTGCGGCGGGTGCTGGCGGCGCTGCTCCCGCGCAGGCGAATCGCGGGAAGAAGCTGTGGGGGCTGGTGGTGTGCCATCATGAAACTGCCCGGTACCTCCCGTTCCCGCTGCGCCTGGCGTGCGAGTTTCTCATGCAAGTGTTCTCGCTCCAGGTGAACATGGAGCTTGAGATGGCCCGGCAGCACCGCGAGAAGGAGATGCTCCGCACGCAGACTCTCCTCTGCGATCTCCTCATGCGTGGGGATGCTCCCCTCGGGATTGTCTCACAGAACCCGAATATTCAGGACTTAGTTAAGTGCGACGGCGCTGCGCTGTACTACGCCGGGCGGTTCTGGCTGCTGGGAACGACTCCCACTGAGATGCAGATCTTGGATATTATTGACTGGCTGGATACTGCGCACCCGGATTCGTCCGGTCTGAGCACTGACAGCCTGGCAGAGGCGGGGTATCCGCGAGCAGAGGAGCTAGGGGAAGGGGTGTGCGGGATGGCGTGTGCACGGCTGTACGCGAGGGATGTCTTGCTGTGGTTCCGGTCGCACGTGCGCAAGGAGGTGCGGTGGGGCGGGGAGAAGCACGATAATAGAGACAAGGAGGACGAGCATCCGGAGCGCATGGCCATGGGGCCAAGGGCGAGCTTTGCGGCGTTCCTGGAGGTGGTGAGGCAGCGGTCGATGCCGTGGGAGGACGTGGAGATGGACGCCGTGCACTCGCTGCAGCTCATTCTGAGAGGCCATCTGACGTCCTTCAGCGATAATGACATGCGCGACATGATGCTCAACCGCATGCGCGACCAGGTGGGTTTCTAGCAGTGGGTTTCTGGGTTTCTGGTTGGGGATTCTGGGCTTCTAGCAGTGAGTTTCTGGGCTTCTAGCAGTGAGTTTCTGGGCTTCAGGCAGTGAGTTTCTGGGCTTCAGGCAGTGAGTTTCTGGGCTTCAGGCGGTGCATTTTGGGCAGTGGGTGTGTGGGGTTGGGTGGGTGTGAGGAGGGGCGTTCCAGGAGGTGGTGAGGCAGCGGTCGATGCTGTGGGAAGACGTGGAGATGGACGCCGTGCACTCGCTGCAGCTCATTCTTAGGGGGCATCTCACGAGCTTCAGTGACAATGACTTGCGCTACATGATGCTCAACCGCATGCGCGACCAGGTGAGGGTTTGGGCGGAAGGAGAGGGGTGGAGGGGGGTTGTGTGCGGTTATAGGACCCACCTCACGTCCTTCAGCGACAATGATGCATGTGACATGATTCTCCTCTGGATGCGCGGCCAGGTGATGGGTGGAGAGGGGTCGAGGGCGGTGCAATTGCTGGAGACAGCAACAGCGCCCATCCTGGCCGTGGACAGGGACGGGTGTGTCACCGGGTGGAACGCCAGGCTCTGACCCCCCTGCCTCCCCATCTCCCTTTTCCACCCCTCTCTCCCCCTTTCTAAACACCAGGAAATGGATCGCCTGAGCGCCACTGAGAGCGAGATGGTGCGAGTGCTCGAGACGGCTACAGCGCCCATCCTGGCCGTGGACAGGGACGGGTGCGTCACCGGGTGGAACGCCAGGCTGGCGGCTCTGACAGGGCTGGCCACAGGGGACGCCCTGGGGAAGCACCTGATCACGGACCTGGTGGTGGAGGGCAATGTGGACGCTGTTGGAAGGGCGCTCTTCCTCGCTCTGCAAGGTATGTTGGTACATGGATGCTCTCTTCTTGGCATATTTGCTCACACGGCTAGCCCTCGCGCTGTGGATCACGGACCTGGTGGAGGGCAACGTGGACGATGTTGGCAGCGCGCTGTTCCTCGCTCTGCAAGGTATGTTGGTGTGTGGGTGCCCTCAAGTTCTCTCTGCAATTGTGGTGAGTGTGCCACATACCCTTGGGGTATAGGAAGCGAGCACACCTGATCATGGACCTGGTGGTGGTTGGGAGGGCGCTGTTCCTCGCCCTGCAAGGTGGGTCATTAGTAGTGCGCTAGCTACCTGTGCTGTATGCTGCGTGGGCTGTGTGGGCTGTGTGCTCCGTGTGTTGCCTTGTGCGGAATGCTCAGCTCTCGGTCGTGGCCCTGTCCTCCAAATCTGTCCTTCCTTCCCCCCAAGGGCTGTGTCACTGTGGCTCTCAGCACCTCGTCTGTCTCCCTCTCTCCCCCTTCTCGCTTCCCCGTGCCCTTCTCCTCCCACCCTCAACAGGCCAGGAGAGCAAGGAGCTGGAGATCCACCTGCGGACCTGGGGCGTGGTGCAGTCCAACAAGGATTCGGTCATCCTCATCGTCAACGCCTTTGCCAGCCGCGGCACGGCCATGGGGGGGGATGACATGGAGGACGTGGTGGGGGTGTGCTTCGTGGGGCAGGACGTGACGGCTCAGAAGGCAGTGCAGGGCAAGTTCACACGCCTGCAGGGCGATTACGAGGCGATTGTGCATGGGAACAACTCGCTCATCCCTCCGATCTTCTCCACTGACGGTGAGACGCATTCTCATGTGCTTGGGGGTGCCTGGGTGTGTGCTTGCAAGGGGAGTGGGGGGGAAGGAAGGGCTTGGGGGTGGGACGTGACGTGACGGCAGTGCAGGGCTAGTTCGTTTGCCTGCAGGGAGATTACGAGGCCATTGTTCCCGGCAGCAACTCGCTCATCCCCCCGATCTTTTCTACTGATTGTCAGTGCCTGGGTGCTGGTTTGCCACCCTCACTCCACCCCTTTCAAACCTTTCCACCTCCTTCAACCCCTTTCCACTTCGTCCACCCTTTCAACCCCTTTCGACCCCTTTCGACCTCTTTCAACCCTTTCCACCCCTTCCACCTCTTTCGATCCCCTTCAATCCCTTTCCACCCCTTCCACCTCTTTCAACCCCCTTCAACCCCTTTCCACCTCATTACAGATTTTGGCAACTGCACGGACTGGAACCCCGCGATGGAGAGGATCACCGGGGTGCCACGTCAGCAGGCCATCGACCGGCTGCTGCTGGGCGGCATTTTCGGCCCCATCTGCCGCATGAAGGCGGACACGATGACGAAGCTGATGATTGTGATCAACAAGGCCATGTCCGGGCAGATGACAGATCGCTACCCCCTCGAGTTCCTCGATGCTCATGTGAGTGTTTGGTTGGTTGCACACGTGAGTCTTGGATCTCACACGATGACAAGGCTCATGATTGTGACCAACAAGGCCATGTCCGTCCGGGCAGATGACCGACCGCTATCCTCTCAAGTTCCTGGATGCCCATGCGAGTGTGTGCATGAGTGAGCGTGCTTGTACTGTGCGGTGTAGAGCATTCATGGGTGAATGAAAGACATGCACTAGTGCTCCCAATCCCTCAATACTCAACTGACACACGTGGGAGCATGCAAGCAAGCAGGCATGCATGCATATAAGCATGAAGGCAGGTACGATGACGAAGCTGATGATTGTGATCAACAAGGCCATGTCCGGCCAGATGTCCTCACCCTCCTTCCCCACACTCCCCTCCTCCCCGCCCCAACCCCCACTTCCCCCCCCCCCCCCCCCTCTTCCTCCCTCCCCCGGAACCCCTCCCTCACTTCCCCCTTGCAGGGCCAACTGGTGGAGGCTCTATTGACGGTCCAGACACGTCGCGACTCAGACGGGCACGTGACGGGCATGTTCTGCGTCCTGCACACCGTCTCTGCCGAGCTCCAGGCAGCTGTCAACCTGCATCCCCCACCTGTCCCTTACTCACCCCCCCCCACACTCCCCTCCTCTCCATCCCCCACCATTCCCCTCCTCTCCTTCCCGCCACCACTCCCCTCCACTCCCACCCCCACTCCCTTCCTCCTCCCCCACAGGGCCAACTGGTGGAGGCGCTTCTGACCGTGCAGACCCGCCGGGACTCAGACGGGCACGTGACGGGGGTGTTCTGCTTCCTGCACACCGTCTCCGCGGAGCTCCAGGCAGCCCTCAACCTGCAGCGCGCCACGCAGGACTTCGCCAAGGAGAAGGCCAAAGCCGTCGCCTACACCAGAGACGCCATTCGTGGGCCGCTCGATGGGATTGAGCACGCACTGAAGGGGCTAAGGAAGGAGGAGCAGGAGGGGCGGCTGGTCGGGGAGGAGGAGAAGAATGCGGTTGGGGTGGCGGAGCGGTGCAAGGAGCAGGTGGACAGGATCCTGGGGGATGACGACATTGACACCATTGAAGAGGGGTGAGTTAATTGAATGCAGGAAGGGTGAGTTGCGTTGCGGCGGGCCAAACACGTTATACCTGATACACAGGTGTCTAGGGCAGGAGATGAGTGTGGTGGGCGTGGCAAGGAGCAGGTGGACAGGATCCTGGGGGATGACGATATTGACACCATTGAAGAAGGGTGAGTTGAAGCAAGGGAGGCAGAAGGGTACCAGAAGGGGGTGATCTCACACGCCCCCTATCCCTCCCCTCCCCTCCCCTCCCCCCCTTCCCCCGTCCCAACTCCTCCCCCTCTCCCTCCCCTTCTCAGCTACGTCATCATCATCCCGACCGTCTTCTCCATCGCATCAGTCATCGATGCGGTGGTCGCCCAGGGCAAGCAGGCCGCCTATCTTGTTATCTCACACACCTTTCCCTTTCCCCACTTCCCCTCCCTCCCCCACCCCCCCCCCCCCCCCCTCTGCAGCTACGTCAACATCATCCCAGCCGTCTTCACCATCGCATCAGTCGTCGACGCAGTGATCGCCCAGGGAAAACAAGCCCACTTTATGGTCTCACATTTCCCAATCCCTCCCTCCCCACCCCTCTCAGCTACGTCAACATCATCCCGGCCGTCTTCACCATCGCATCAGTCATCGACGCGGTCATCGCGCAGGGCAAGCAGGCGGCCTCCCGGCGCGAAGTCTCGCTCTCCTTCGACCCGCCACCGCAGCTGCGCTCGTTCCCGGGCCTTGCAGGGGACCCTGCTCGCCTGCAGCAGGCCCTGGCGGAGTACCTCACCAGTGCGGTGGCGTTCACGCCGCAAGGCGGGTGGGTGAAGGTTCGGCTTGTGACCAGCACCAGGAGCCTGTTCGGCGATCAAGGCTCCCTCAAATGCGAATTCCGGTGAGTGGAAGTAGCAGGGAACGAGCAGGGGACGGGAAGGGGTGTGGGATTGGCATGGGATGGGCTCGCATCGAAGGGGACCCTGCCCACCTGCAGCAGCAGGCTGGGGGGGGGGGGGGGCGTCAATTCTCTCAGCCCGCCTGCAGCAGGCCCTGGCAGAGTACCTGACCAGTGCGGTTGCCTTTGCTCCACCCCCCCTTTCAGAGTGCAACACTCGGGAGCGCTCCCACAGGAGCTGGTGCAGCAGCTGTACGACGAGGCAGACCCACTCCACCACGCGCACCCAGGAGGGGCTCGGCCTCTCCGTGTGCCGCAAGATCCATGAGCGCCCTTGCTTCCCCACCCTTGCTTCCTCACCACACACCCTCCCTTGCTCATCCATCAATCTCCCCTCTCTCCCCCCCACTCCTCCCCCCCTCCCCCTCTCCCCTTGCAGGGTGCAACACTCAGGAGCGCTCCCCCAGGAGCTGGTGCAGCAGCTGTACGACGAGGCGGACCCCACCACGCGCACGCAGGAGGGGCTTGGCCTCTCGGTGTGCCGCAAGATTCTCCTCGCCATGGCGGGCGATGTGCAGTACGACCGCAACTACAACGCGTGCGAGTTTGTCGTGCGGATTGGGTTCCCCTTCGCTTAGAACCTCGCTCTCCAGTCCTCTTCCTCATCTCCTCAACCACCTTCCCTCTCGGTGTGCCGCAAGATCCTGCTAGCCATGGCAGGCGACGTGCAGTACGATCGCAACTACAACGCGTGTGAATTTGTCGTGCGCATCGGATTCCCCTTCACGTAGGAAGTTCGCTCTGCGTGGCCTCTTCCTAAATCCTAGTCTGATGGACCCTAAAGACCCTAGCTCTGCTATGCCCACACCTCTTCCTCCACCTACCTAGTATGCCGCACAAAACCCTCTTTTGGTAGTTCAATCTTGGCACTTTTGTTCCTGCTTGTTGCCTTGGAGCAGGGCAGATGAGAGGGTTTTGGATGCTGCAGTGTCTGATTGGACAGTGATCAGTGACATTGTGTATTGTAGGTGTGTGTGTGCATGTGTGACTGCTAGACTATAGTACAGGACCTGCTAGTATTCTGGGTGTGGATGAGATCAAAACAACCCTGTAAACACTTTATGCACCTCCAGACATTTTTTTTTCCACTAAAAACTATCATTGCTGGGAAGAGTGTTCACACGAATAAACAAATCAGGGAAGTGCTGAAAACAATAAACAATCATATTAATGAATAAACAAATTAAATAATGCCTTAGCCGAGCAGGTTCTCTCTGGTGAGAAATACCAGTAGCACATCCTACCAGTACCAGAGAGCTGGCTAGTAGGCAGACGAATGAAAGAAGGGAGAGCAGAAGCAAGCAGACCACTCTCTTGGCTCCCCAAAGGCGTCAGCAGCAGCATACATGTTTCACCACTGCCTGTGCATGTGAAAGTTTCACAAGTCTCACATGCTTACATGCTCCCTCGATACTCCGGCTTCGAAGTTGCTTGTATCTGCACCCCAGCTGCAGATGCTGATTGGTTAAGCAAGACCCATGGACTGGACTGCCACCCAATCATTCTCGAACCTTGAGCTTGTTTCGCGACCTAAATGCCTCACAGCTGCTTGTGTAGGTGATGGATCATAGCAAACAGGGTCCCTTCGTGCTCATTCCACTCCCCCGCACCCCCCCCCACCGCTCCGCAGCTCGACCCCTCCACCCTTTCCCCTCCTTCCCCTCCTCCCCCTCCTCCCACCCCTCCCACATCCTCCATCCCATTCCCCAGTTCTGCTCCCTCCTTCGCCCCACCCAGCCTAACTCTCTCCCCACTTCCCCCATTCCCCCCTACAAGCCCAGCCACAGCCAGCAAAGCAGCCGTGTCCTCATCTGCTCCCAGGGAAATATCCACGTCAGCAGCACCAAACCCTAAACACGCCGAGCTGAACGCAGCATTAGCAGATACGGGAGTTGCGGGATTATGGTGGTTTGGAGCGAGGCCAGTGGCACGGGTGTTAGCTGCAAACTCAGCAGGGTATCCGGCACCGAAGCTGGTACTCTTTCGTGAGTTGAACGGAACTCCAAAACCCGAATTTACTGCAGTAGTAGCAGCGGCGGTAGCAGAGAAAACACCTGAAAATTCACCTGAGTTGACTTGGCTGCCACCAATTGCGAAACTGTTGAAACTCCTGGGGTTACCAGCAGGAGCAGCGGGAGCTGGGGCAGAGGAAGCAGCAGCAGCAGAGGCAGCAGCTGCAGCGAAAATCATCATTTCATTCTTGTCTTCCGTTGCAGAAAGTTCTCTCACCGTGCAATCTCCGCCACCCAGCCTTGCTTCTCCGGGCTGCCCAAAAAAACCCTGAATTGACGAAGCTAGTGCAGGCGGAGGGAGGGGGAATGTCCCCCTCCCTCTACCTGGCGCTTGCGGAGCATGGGCTCCTCCGCTCACGTGTTCAGGCGCAGGGGCGGAAGCACTGCGCGGCCAGTTCCCCCCAATCGCTGTCTCAGTGTCTGTCCCCGCGAGTTCGATCCCCTGATAGCTGCTCGCACCGGGAAACGCGCCCGCGGCATTAAAACGCAAATCTACTCGCGCTGCTGCTGCTGCGGCGGCGGCGGCGGAACCGGAGGCGGGAGCGGACGCGCCCTCCTCTAGGAAACCGCGAGCGCCACGAGCGTCGGGCGCGAAACCCGTTTGCGGAGGCTCTACTGGCGCCGCAAACCCTCCCGGGGGAAACCCTCCCGCGGCGGAAAGCCCCGCCGCCGCCTCCGCGGGAAATCCCCCCGCCTGTTGTATCGCGCGCAGTATTTCCGCCATGTCGCGGTTGTAGCGCCCCGCGGCAATCTGCCGCAGCCGCGCGTTTTCCTCCTGGAGGATCATCAGCGCTTGTTCCATCTCCTGAAGCCGCTGGTCCGCGGCGCGTTTCTCCGCCGCCATAGAATTCACCTGCGCCTCGAGCTCCACGAAGCGCTCGTGCTGCCGCTGCCGCGACCGCTTCGCGTATTCGCGGTTTAGAAGCCGGCGCTTTATAGAGCGCTCCTCCTCGGTTTCCTGCTGCATCCCGCTGCCGCCCCCGCCAGATTGTAGCGCCGCCGCTATTTCGCGCGCTTCGCCACCGCCGCCGCGCGGCGCGCCGTCGGAATTCACGCCGCCGCCGTTGCGCTCGTGCGGCGCCGAAGCGCAGCGCTGCAGCGCCCCGTGGTCTTGTGCTGCTTTGCCTTCCGAACCAGATCCCGAGCCTGAGCTGCTGGTTCGTTGGAGCCACGCCCTTAGGGTTTGGGCGCCGTGGCTGTCCGGCCAACGCTGCTTCTGCGTGTGAGTGGTAGTTAACGGGATATTAAACGTAGGCGGCGACGCGTCGCCGCGCTGCGCGCGGAAACTCCCGCCGCCGGCAGAACTGCCCCCGCGGGAGCTCCCCGCGCTAGAAGGACGCACCAGCGGCGTGCCGAAGCGGATCGGGCGGAGATAAGCCGTCGCCGGCGGAGACACGATCATATCCGCCGTGGAATGCGCGCTCGGGTTTTCCCAAGGGCTTCCGTCATGTTGAAGCTGGGCCTGATGCCCCGCCGCGAAACGCGGCGCCGACGACGTTTCTCCCATAGAGAAATCCGCTGCTTCGCGCGCCGCCGCGGGGAGAGGCGGCTTCGGCGCCGACTCGAAATTTGACGAAGGGGGCTTGTCGATCTTGATTCGCGAAATGACGGCAGCGACTGCTGACTCGAATTCTTCCGATTGGGTGCTGCGGTGGCGCTGGTGCTGTTGTTGTTGCTGCTGCTGTTGCGCCACGGGCGGCGGTTGCAGCGGCTCGACTTCTGATCCAGATTGCCAAGACATTTCTCGCACGGGGTTCGTTACACGAGAAGTTCGCCGACTCTTCCGTACAATCGGTTGGAGTTAGTTAGCTTTCAACTCGTAACAGCTCAAGAAAATCTCGTCCAAGAGGGAAAATGGATATCCCGCAATCCGCGGTTAGTACAGAAATGAAGAGCTTTCGTGGTTGAGCAGTGAAAGGAAAGAAGGTGTTTGTGATGATTCCAAAAATCTGAGTCTGTGAGGATGACTGACAACAATGAAGCTTGAAGTGTGTTCGTGGAAAGGACTGTACGAGGTAGTTAATCTGTTGGATAGAGCCGAAATTTCGCAGGATGCTGGGATACGCCAAGTAAAACCACTTACGCCTCCTCCAGCACGAGCAGAAATTATGGGGTGGGGAGGAAGAAATAATGGAACTTGATGTCGCGAGACAGCTCACTGGCTTGAGAGTCCATGGTGTCTCCTCGCGTGGACGCTTGGAAATGGCATGCCTTGGATCGTGCGGGGGGGGATCACTGGACTGGATCGCGCGGAGAGTGGGCTCGGCTGTCCGCTTGCGCACATCTCAACCTCCCCTCCAGGATTCTCGCGCGCCCGAATCCGAACACTAGTGGTGGAGACACCGCTTTCTTTGGGACTTGTGAGTCACACTGACCCTGGCATTGCGGCGCTGGAGTGGCGTGCGGTGCAAGTACTGTACTGGTTCCGCTAGGTGTGGGCTTGGCGGTAGCGCACGGCCAAGCGAGTCAACCAGGGAAGCCGGAAACCATGAGGGAAGGGAAGGGAAGGGAAGGAGAGGAGTCGATGATAGAGGAAGTGGATTTACACTACAATGGATGTCCAACCCTATCGCAACAATATTATAGTATAATTAGTACGCCGACTCTTTAACATTTGAGCACGGGAACCGAAAGTCGTTTACAAGCCCTCCCGTCAGAATTTTGTCAAGTGGTTGAGAGCAGCCAGCCACAAGGAGCCTTAGGGCGTGAAACCAATCGGGTTTGATCGCGACTGATCTGATCGAGTCGGATCTGATCGGGTTGCTTGTGATCGCAATGCCCGAGCCATCCGAACAGATATGTTTTTCGAAGAAGGTTTCTAGTGCCTGATTGGCAAGTGCGGTACATTCACCTCGCATTTTCGTCCCCATTATAGCGAGGCTGGCGACCATACGTCACCTGGCGAAACAAATTCGTTTCACTGTAAGTTAAACAGTGTAACCGTTCGCAAGCGTCGCTGTGGACCCCGATCACATGCAATCAGGTGATCGCCTGTGATCGAGGAAAATCGACTATGATCGGGGTATAAATCGGGGCTGATCGAATTGGGGCGATCAGCTGATCGCGATCAGCCAATTGTTCCTGATTGCCTGAATTTGGCTTTCAAACCCGATTGGGCCCACGCCCTTAATATCCGACCAGTACAACAAACCTAGGCACCCAACGTTGCTGCACTAAAATGGTTGGTAATCAACAGTTCCTTTCCGCCTTTGGCGAAGCTGACGAACGCATGCTCGATTCCGTCTCCATGTTTGGCGTGACTAAGATGGACAATACTTGTGCCCTGTAAATCTGGTCAGGATTTTCCGCCGCATAAGATCCGCGGCTAAGGCTCTCAGTTGCTCAACTGGTTTTCACAGCGGGAAGGCGTTAGCGCACGATTGTCCCTTTCCATTCCCTGTCTTATTACGAATTTGTCTTGTCGAACCAAACGAGTTTCAGCCGAGATGTGCCTAAAAAAACATTATGAAGGCTAGGCGGATGCCTCATGTAATTAGGGGTACACTTGGTGATATCCACAGCCTTTGACATTCTTTCCACCTAGTCCGCGGTATTTTAACCACGTGAACTGTTTCGCTTCAAACACCCTTTTTTAGTTTTCGGGTAATGAGATGGGCAGCCAGAGACTTCAAGGCTATTGTTTTGCGGCCAGAAGCATTTCCTTCTACAGAAACTCACACTTAGTGCTCCGAAATAGAGGGCGGATCGGCATTGACCAGGTTTGACTGCCATCCTCTCAAAAGGGTATGCTAGATTATACCTTCAGAAAAGTTCAAAAGTACTCGTATAAAAAAGTTCGACCAAGGAGAAGTACCTTCGCGCGGTTAAGATAGCGGCGGTTAAACCCTCTTACAGTAAAAGCGTTTTTGCCTACATTACACCCTGTTTCTCACTACACCGAACTGTGCTGAACTGATGGAAAACCTAGTTACCTTCGATTTGTCTGATTGAACCATACCTAGACTTAATCTAACCACCGTTAACCGTGCTTTTCCCATCTTGACTTCACTATAACCGAGTTCACAATGGCGAGAAAGAGGGTGTATTTCGAAAGCAGGAGGGATGTGCAAAAATCCAGATGCACCCACAAGCCAATTGAAGACTCTGAAATTTGGCGTCACCTGTCGAGTAGGGTGTCGTTATAAAAGTGGGAAGGCCCGTCGTTTATTGAACGCCAACCTGTCAACTACCGTTGGCTGCCACTAGCGTCCAGGACATTTTCAAGCGCGGCCCTTTTGCTACGGCCTAAGTGGACGCACCGTAAAATTGAATGATTAAGAGATGATCTGGCACGTGATCATCCACAATACAAAACCATTTGAAAGAAACAGTCTAGGGCTCGATTCAGGACGTGGGCCCAATCGGGTCTGATCGCCTCTGATCTGATCGGTTCGGATTTCTTGTGATCACTTTGCTCGAGCCGCCCAATCAGCCATGTTTCTGGTCGAAGGTTTAAAACTATTGCTCGGCAAACGCAGGAACATTACGTGGAAATCCTCATCCAACTCACACGAGATTGGCGATTGACTGTCACCTAGCGAAGGAATTTGTTTCCCTGTAATTACCTCAAGCCCTGGAGAGGTCTCGCCATGTGCCATGCTTAAGCGAGGGGTTCACGAGACTCAATTCAACAGTGTAATATTTCGCAACCGTCGTTATGGCCTCCATCTCGTGCAATAAACTGATCGAGGGTGACTGAGCAAAATCGATTTTGATCGGGGTGAAAATCGGGTATGATTGAGTTGGGGCGATCAGCTGATCGGGATCAGCTGATTGCCCCCGATTGCCTGAAATCAGCTTCCAGGCTTCGTCGAGGTTATTAAACGCCTCTGATCGAGGCGATCAAACTTGATTGGGTCCACGTCCTTAACTTCAAAGAATGGCTGCTGTACCAATCTGAATAGAGAAGGTACGTGATGAGGTCAGGCGTATAAACAAGCGAGTTTCTCCGCTAGGCATACTTGTGAAGTGTGCGCAATCTCTGAAACTTTTAAATTTTCAAAACACGCAGGCGATTGATGGTCCCTCTCAAGCATAACGCTCATACAATATAGGTTACGGTTGGTGGAGCGGAGAAAACAGGAGCCGTAAAGAGCGTGGAAGCCACAACACTGGACACTTAGTAAGGGCCCCCACAAATTGACATACGTGTTTGTTGGAGGAATTATCTGCAGTATTTCCTAAGAATGAACCTGCAAAGACATTGCTACTGTAGTCTCATGCTGGCAGCAAAATGATGGCCTGAGGTGAGAACAGCCCCTAATGAATGCAGAATCCCCAGATTTACCATTTAGATTGGATTACGATTTTAGACTCCAATGCACAGAATGGTGCATGAACCACGAAGTTTCATTTAGTTTGGTTGATCTTCAAAACATCGTAAAAACGCAGACTACAGTAGGGCTCATTCGAGCCTCATACACCGTAGGCGATGTGCGTGAGGAAGCCAGGCGGGCATCATGCTGTACAAGGACAGTGACCGAGAGTAGAGAAAGGTTGGTTGGTTAGGCACTGTACACAACAGCACTCCGACTCGATAATAAGTCCTCAACCCGTGGCCCACTCTCCAGGTGAATTGAGTCAGCACGAACTGTGAACAGTGCCATGACGATTTCGTGCAAGCCGGGACAAGTCTCTGTACAGAGCTTTATTCTGATAGAATATATACGTCAAAACATTTTGCAATAACAATTCTATTTCTCTCTGGATTCCTTGAGACCCATCAAAATATCAACACACATCTGTCAGATAGCACAGGTAAACGCACTAGGAGAGATGCCAGATTCTTTCAGAGATTTTCAGCAGACACGGAAGAGCGCCTTGGAGAGAGAACACTCGTAACTAATCCAAAGCACATACAGCCATGAGAAAACAATCAAATTTCTCAGATTCTACCGGACCGGCCTTATGCTAGCTTCAGGAGCTCAATCAGTGCAGGATTACACTTGACCACCAATGAGAAACTTTTCAATCTCCCATAGGAAACGCAGCTTCGGAAACTGCAACCATGTGTTTTGTCCCCAGCGCTTAAAAGCGGAGCTTGGAGAAGAACCATCTGTTCTTGCCCGTCTTGAATCGCTCCTCAAAGATCTTCTTCAGCTCCTGTGGTGCCGTACAGGCAGATGGGCATAACAGGCAAACCGGCAGGTGGGCAAACGAGCCGAGGAATGGGCAGAGGGAGACAAGGAAGGAGGAAGAGTCAACACAAGCACTTTATCAGGGACAAAGAGAAGGGAAGAGAACATGGAAAAACAGAACGGGGAGGAAATCAGAGTTGGGGGAAGAAGGGGAGGGGATATGGCACAGCTGAAGAAAGGCATGAGTCACAAGGCCAGAAAACACATTGATTTGCACGCAGCCTACGACCATTCACCCAAATTTGCCTTCCTCTCCCTCCCTCTCTCAATCCACTCTGTCTTCCCCCCTGTTCTCTCTCTCAACCCCCCTCCCCAATCGTATTGCTCTCCGTCAGCCCTTTCTCCTCCCACCCTCAGCTCCTCCCCCCTCTCTTCTTTCCCCTCTCTCTTCTTTCCCCCCCCTTCGTTCCTCCCCTCCCCTTCGCTCGCCCCCTCGCTCACATTCTTGGTCTCTACCGCTTGGCCGATTCTTGTGTCCAGCCCCAAAACACCCCCGCTTTCTCCTCCCCCCTCTCTCCTGCCTTCACTTTCCCCCTCCTCACCTTTCTACTGTAATAAAAAAGGTTTTGTACAAAGCACTTATGCTCTCCTTGCTCTCCCCTCCCCTCACCCCCCCTCACCTTCTTGGTCTCCACCCGCTTGGCCGAGCTCTCAAGCTTGTCAGCCGTCACCGTGCTCTTGAGGTCCACGTCCAGCTGGTACCTGCGGTCAACGCCAGCCAACGGGGGTCAACGGGGGCACAAAGGGGTCAACGGGAAGTCAAACAGAGTCAATGTCACAGATGGCAGGTCAAGCTCGTCGGCCGTCACCGTGCCCTTGAGGTCGACGTCCAGCTGGTACCTGCGGTCAACACCAGTCAACGTACGTCAAACGGAAGTAAAATGAGAGCCAATGGGAGTCCACGATTGTCATGAATGGTCAATGGGTGTCAAAAAAATTTCAAGTGGCCGTAATGATGTGGTCAAGTCGAACTGAAACAGCAGTCAACATAAGTCAACGCGTATGCTGAGATAAAGTCGAGGAAGGGAAAGGCGGAAAAGGGAAAAAAGGGGGAGGGTACTTGGAGGAAGCGGAAGAGGGTGAGGTTGGGAGGGGCGGGTGGTTTATGAATGACAAGGTGTGCCGGTGGAGTGGGAGAGATGTGGGGAAATGGGAGAGGGATGTGGGAGCGTGTCAGAGGGGAAGCGGGGAAGTAGGAATTTAAGATGCAGGGGATAGGGGAGGGGGGTAAAGGGAATAAAAGGAAGGATTGTGGCGAACAGGAGAGGGATGTGGGACAAGTAAAGAGAGAGGTACAGGGGATCGGGGCGGAAAATATGAGAGAACAGGAAGGGGGGATGTGGGGGTTGGGAGAGCGGGATACGGGGAACAGCGCAGGAGGGGAATTTAGTGAGGGGAGAGGGGGGAGTGGGATGCGGAGGAGGCTGGAGTGGCAGATTAATTACCCAATAGGCGATGTAGTTAATCAGATAGGCAAATTAGTTACCTAGTGGGCGCATAGCATAAGGGGATTGTAGTTAACGAGCTGGATAAAGTCCCCCACTTGCAAACAAGGTAATCAACTATCTAGCAGTCAATAATACCTAGTGGGCAGATTAATTACCTAGTGGGCATGAGGTGGTTATAGTTAACAAGCTTGATGAACGCCTTCACTTGCGAGCGCTTCGCGAGGGTCTTGGGCGTGAGCTTCTTCGTGACCTGGAGGAGTGGGAAGGGGTGGAAAACAGCGGGGAGGCGAGGAGTGGGAAGATGTGCGGGGAAGTGGGAGAGGTGAGAAGGGGAAAGACACCCTTGCGAGGGTCTTGGAGGTGATCTTCCTCGTGACCTGGAGGAGTGGGGAGGAGTGGGGAGGCGTGTGGAGGGGCGCGCAGGTATTTTGAGTGGGAAAATTGTCACCCTTCCACCTCAATGCAAGAACTCCTACACACCTCTAACGCGTCATCACAGCCGTCGATCCACGTCCGTAAGACCCGAGTTGATCTACGTCGGATGGACACGTATCTCAATCTACGTCCACACCACCAGCATCCTGATCGGGCCGCCGTAAAAAGCGCGACGAAGGCGGTCTGGCGCAAAATGAATCACAGATGGAAAAACCCTGATCCACGTCCAGCAGTATCAGAACTACTTCCGCAGATTCAAGCGTGACTGGTGGTTGACGGTTGACGGCTTTCGAGGCGCCAAGAAAACTAGACGCGGAAACTACGCCTATCAGACGACTGCCGGCCAAACTGAGCCTGTCCGACGGCTGACGGTGAATTCAAGCCTGGCTGACGGTGAATTCACGCCTGGCTGACGGCTGACCACTTGCTCGCAGCGCGGAAAACGAGATACTTCAAGTTAGCGGGCGTCCCACCTAGGTCACGGCCCTTTGATCCCATGATCCCTCGGTGGTTCCTCAGTCTCCTCGGTCTCCGACCTCCCCCGCTCCCACGGGTGTGTTTTGAGTCGACTCAAAATACGCGCGGATACGAAAAATCCCCAAGTCAACGGACGTCGAACCTAGGTCACGGCCCTTTGACCCTATAATCCCTCGATGGTTCCTCCGTCTCCTTCCCTCCCTCGCTCACACGGGGCCCGCATTTCTGTCTGTCGACTCTGCACGTTGACGTGCACGGCGCGCAGCTCAAGACGGCCAAACTAACCATCTCTCGGTCCTCTTCTCCCTGAGATACGTCTGCGCGCGCAACACGTTGACGTTTACGGCGCGCATTTCAAGATGGCCAAACTAACGGTCCGTCGGTCCTTCCCTCCTTCCGACCATTCCGCATATCTGTCTGCACGCGCAACACGTCAGCGTTCACGGGGCGCATTTTCGGTCCCTCGGTCCTTCGATCGCTCGCTCTCTCGCGCCCTCACACCAACCATCCCGCATGTCTGTCTGCCGGTTATACAAGCTGATACTCACACGTGGGCGTCCACGGCGCGTCGCTTCAAAATCGACGTCTACGGTATTTTCGAGATTGCCTAATCGACAATGTTACCTTGACCGCTTCTGATCGACGGTGCTGCTTCGAGGATGCTGCTTATGGCGCGGCCACCTGTACAATCGACTATTGCTGCACAGCACAGTCGAATCTACGGTGGTAACGAGTACTACTCAAAACTAGTCGACGCCGCAAATTACGCATCAATTTCCGCGTCAACCGCCATGGTTGCAGGTTCCTGGCCCGACGCAAGGCCACATCCCACGCCACGTCATACCAAGATCGGCCACCTTACCTTGCGGGGATACTTGGAGATCCCGGCAACGAGCGCGTGGCCGTACTGCCGGCCGGAAACGCCGTCGTCGAAGTTCTTAACGATCACTGCCTTGCGGCCGGCATAGCGGCCCTGCAGCACCACCACCACCTTGTTCGGCTTCAGGAACTTCACCATTGTGACAGTAGCGAGGGGACAGGACGGAACTACAGCGAAAAGGTTGGCGGGACAGATGCCCGAGGCTCCTTAGACTGCCTACGGTTGGTGGTGGGAGGGAGAAAAAGGGGTAAGTCGAGGAGGAGGAGAAGGGATATGCTCACTAAACCCTAAAGGCCTCCGCGGGAGTGTCCCTTCCGCGACTTCCGCCCCCGTGTTTACTGCTTCTCCGCCACCCGTTACCGTGTGTGGCTGTGCGCAACGACTTCCGGGCTGCTGATTCCGCGTTACTGGAACCGCGGTGCTGGTAATGTTTTTCGTCGCCCTGCAGGGGGCTATCGTTGGGTACTAGGCCGTGATTTGACAACGATCGTGCGAGAACTGGTTACCCTGATTTTCAATAGTTTCTGTCGAGAACGTAATTTTGGCTTTGTCGCCCTCCACTTCGAAGCCAATGGGTTGGCTTCGTCGCGACGTGATTCTGGCATGCGTCGATGTTACCCTGTCCTAGTATAATTTTGATATGGTGACTCATAGAGGGGTGGTATGCCACGAACACATGGTGCGTTACTGAGCGACTATTTAAGATTACGCTTTAGAATGACGAAACATCCGTTCATAACAAATCAGGCCACAAATAGAATGACAACCAGCACAGTGCTTTCGCCAGAGAACCTAAAATGTTTTGTGATGTACGGTTGTTGAATAACAAAAATCCATTCACATCAGCTAACATATTCAGTATTTCCTGTATTTTGATCCACTAAATCCTCCTAACGGTGCTAAAACCACCACACACAGATCGCATAACAGTAGGAAACCATTGCAGTGTACCGCATTCTAATCCCGCTTGCTGCCCACTCAGGGCAGGGCACATTGCTGGGAAGTCGCGTCACAACAAACACCACATACTTCTCTGCACCGAATTTCACCTAAGGATCAATGGTTTGCACCGTACAGTATCTCGTCTTTTGTGACCCGAGGTTTTGTGCCGCGTGCCAGGAGTGTACTCGCAATCAGCCATTGTTTCAATGAATTGGGAATGTGTTATGGAAACGTCACCGCGCAGTAAACCATGGATGGGCTGCCCACAGGGACAATAAAGGCACGTTATTCAAAGGATGCATGAACCACAGTTGAAGACCGAATGTCGCAGCAGCAACGAATATGAAGGAAAAGACTCTCACGCAGAAATAACGGCATGTTTAGTGTGCACACATGCACTCGCAGGGGAGGGGGGGGTGCAAGGGAAATGAAGCGAAAGAAGAAAATAGGAGGAAACTGGACACAAGAATAGAAAGCATGCTTACCAAGAGCCCCTTGTGCCGTGAGCCTCTTTTTAGTATCCCTCACAAGCATCTTCTTTAACAGATCCACTGCCTCCGCGCTCACGCCGCGCCACGCGTCCCCTCTGTAGCTCGCCTTGGCTTCCTTTATAGCTTTGATCACTCCGGCTTCGGTGCGCGCCCAAAACGGCGGCACTCCCGCCAGCATGACATAGAGCACGACCCCCGCGCTCCAGATGTCAGCAGGGAAGGAGTAGCTGCCCTCCACCACCTCTGGTGCCACGTAGTATGGTGATCCCATGAACTCCGTCAGGGGCTTGGCGCCTGGTGATGGGGAGTTGAGAGCGGTGGAGCGCGGTGAGGAGTGGTGGGGAGTGGCAGAGAGTGGTGAGGAGTGGTGGGGAGTGGTGACATGAATCAGAGAGAGCGAGTGACATAGAGCACGACCCCCGCACTCCAGATGTCCGCAAGGAAGGAGTAGCTGCCATCCACCACCTCCGGTGCCACATAATACGATGATCCCATGAACCCAGTCAGGGGCTTGGCACCTTGAGATGGGGGGTTGAGAGCGGTTGGGAACAGTTAGAAGTGGCGGGGAGCGGTGGGGAACGGTGGGGAGTGGTATGAGAAAAGGAGTTGCACAATGAAGGAGTAGCTGCCCTCCACCACCTCGGGTGCCTGAGCCTCAGACCCCTTGAGCACCTGGCAATTCACCTGGCATCTCACCTGGTTTCACGATGGCAGCGATGCCGAAGTCCATGACCCGGCAGTCGGAGAGCGACTGCTGTGACTTGACGAGAATGTTTTCGGGCTCCTGGAGAGGGAGTGCTACAAGAGGAGGATGACCTCTCACTCTTGCAAGGACACATACTGCCCACCTGGTTTCACGATGGCAGCGATGCCGAAATCGATGACCCGGCAGTCAGAGAGGGACTGCTGTGACTTGAGGAGAATGTTTTCGGGCTCCTGGAGAGGGAGTGCTACAAGAGGAGGATGACCTCTCACTGTTGCAAAGACACGCACTGCCCACCTGGTTTCACGATGGCAGCGATGCCGAAATCGATGACCCGGCAGTCAGAGAGGGACTGCTGTGACTTGAGGAGAATGTTTTCGGGCTTGATGTCGCGATGCACGATGCCGTGCTGGTGGCAGTGTGCTAGCACAGACAGCACCTGATGAGATTGTGAGACAACAGGGTTGGTGGGGGAGAGGTGTGGATTAGGGCATTAGAGGCTTGATGTCCCGATGCCCGAAGCCGTGCTGGTGGCAGTGTGCTAGCACGGACAGCACCTGGTGGGATAGAATAGGGGGGAAAGGGGGACAGAGGGAATAGGGGATAGGGGATAGGGGATAGGGGATAGGGGTAGGGGATAGGGGTAGGGGATAGGGGTAGGGGATAGGGGTAGGGGATAGGGGTAGGGGATAGGGAATGGGATGCAGAAGGGGGGGCAACAAGGGTGTGACTTGAGGAGGATGTTTTCAGGCTTGATATCCCGTGATTACGTTGCTTGCTGCATCATGCGTGTAATTCTGCAAGTGAGATATCATGCTCTGCGTGTAACTCTGCAAGTGAGATATCCTGCTCCTTACCTGCTGCATGATGCCTTGAGCGTCCCTCTCGTCCAGGCGCCGTCTCTCCTTGATGCGATCGAACAGCTCACCCCCATGGCACAGCTCCATCACCAGATGCACCGCCTGCCGTGCCATGCCATGCCATGCATAGTCATGGAAATGCCATGCCATCGCAGACATTCCATGGCAAGTAGAAAATAATAATAATAATAAAAAAAGAGTTATGGAAGAATTCTTACTGCTAGCCAATGGATTGTAAGCCTGCACACATTACATTATTTTTTGCAGAAAAAAAAAAAATACACACACACACACACATCAGCTGCCTGCCCGCCACAAATATTTTGTGAAACCCTTACAAAAAAAAAAAAAAAAAAAAAAAAAAAAAAAAAAAAAAAAAAAAAACCTTTCCGCTCGATCACACCTCCTCGTCCCATCAGCAGGTTTTCCTGTGGTAAACCTCAACTCAACCAGCCACATTCATAAACGTTTTTTGCAGCCTCAATCCAGACGCTCAGCTCCACCACACACCCCCTCACCCAACACTCACACCCTCATCCACATACCACCACATACCACCACACACCACCACACACCACCGCATACCACCACCGCATACCTCCTCATCCTTAAACACATCTTCGAGCTTTGCCACGTTCCCATGCCCGCCCACCATCTCATGCACCACCAAGCCTCATCTAGACTGCTCACCCACCACATACCACCGCATACCACCCCATAACCCCTCGCCCACCACTTACCTCCTCGTCCTCAAACACGTCTTCCAGCTTTGCCACGTTGGCATGCCCGCCCAGCATCTCATGCACCACCAAGCCTCATCCAGACTGCTCATCCAGACCACACACCACATACCACCGCATACCACCACACACCTCCTCGTCCTCGAACACATCTTCCAGCTTTGCCACGTTGGCATGCCCTCCCAGCACCTCATGCACCATCACCTCCCTCTTCACTGCATCCACATCCGCCTTGCTCTGTAGTGTGTGGGAGGAAGGAGATGTAGGAGGGAAAGAGTGTGGGAGGGGGACAGCGCAGTATGGAAGGGATCATCCTCTCTAAGAGCCTCAACAGCCATGCCCGCCCACCATCTCATGCACCATCACCTCCCTCTTCACTGCATCAACGTCCGCCTTGCTCTGCAAAACGCAGGGGGGACACGGAGAAAGGACAGGGCGCGTGGGGAGGGAGAGGGAACAGAAGGAGTCTAAAAGCACATGCACATGCCCGCCCAGCACCTCATGCACCATCACCTCCCTCTTCACTGCATCAACGTCCGCCTTGCTCTGTAGTGTGTGGGAGGAAGGTGTGTAGGAGCGAGGGAGTGTGGAAGGAAGACGGGGCAATATGGAAAATATTATCACTCTAGGTGCCTCAAGCACCGTGCCTGCCCGCCCACCATCCCATGCGCCATCAACTCCCTCTTCACTGCCTCCACTTCCGCCTTGCTCTGTAGAGGGCAGGAGGAAGAAGGAGAAAGGAGAGGGCCCGTGGGGAGGGAGAGGGAACGGATGGAGTCTAGAAGCACATACTCCTGCCCGCCCGCCCACCACCTCATGCACCATCACCTCCCTCTTCACTGCTTCCACGTCCACCTTGCTCTGTACAGTGGAAGGAGAGCGTGAGCAAGAAAGGGCAGGGCGTATGGGAGGGAGACGGAGCAGTACGGATGGGTGCATAGCTCACTAACTGCCTCAAGCACCATGCCCGCCCACCACCTCATGAACCATCATGCCTCTTAACTGAATCCCTCATGCCTCTTAACTGAATCCACATCCGCCTTGCTCTGTAGTGTGTGGGAGGAAAGGGTGTAGGAGGAAAAGAGTGTGGGAGGGAGACGGGGCGATTATCGTTCTAGGTGCCTCAAGCACCATGCCCGCCCACCATCTCATGCACCATGCCCGCCCACCATCCCATGCACCATCACCTCCTGCTTCACTGCATCAACATCCGCCTTGCTACGTGGAGCAAGAGGGGATAGAGGGAGAAGGGACAGAGGGAGCGTATAAGCACATAGTCCTGCATGCCCGCCCACCATCCCATGCACCATCACCTCCCGCTTCACTGCGACGAGTTTTGAGGCGCCTCAAAACTCGCCCACCATCCCATGCTCCATCACCTCCCGCTTCACTGCCCCCACATCCGCCTTGCTCTGTAGAACGAAGGGGGGAGAAGGAGAAAGGACTGGGCACGTGGGGAGGGAGAAGGGAGAGAGGGGGTCCAGAAGCACATAGTCATGCCCGCCCACCACCTCATGCACCACCACCTCCCTCTTCACTGCCTCCACATCCGCCTTGCTCTACACAACAAGAGGGGAAAGGAAAGGGATTTGAGGGAGAAAGGGCAGGGGCCATGGAGAGGGAGAGGGGCGAAGGGGCTATAACCACATAGCGTGTTTTTTGAGACTGCTTTTGAGTCGACTCAAAAGGGGCGAAGGGGCTATAACCACAGAGCGTGTTTTTTGAGAATTCTCAAATAACACGCTCTGCAACACATTTCCCTCCCAGGGAGAGGGGCGAAGGGGTTATAACCACCATACTCACGCCCGCCCACCATCTCATGCACCATCACCTCCCTCTTCACTGCCTCCACATCAGTTCTCCACCCCTTCAACTCGCCCTTTCGAGATCCCCTTAATCCTTGCACCTCCCACCTCCCTGCTCCTTGCACCCTTCCCACTCTCACCTTCAGGTCGCCCTTATTGATCAACTTGCAAGCCAGCTGCCGCCCGGTCTGCTTGCACTGCACCACTGCACCACCTGCCTTTGATTCACTCCTATTACTTTCCTTGCAGCCCCCCCCCTGCCCTTCCCACTCTCACCTTCAGGTCGCCCTTATTGATCGACTTGCAGGCCAGCTGCCGCCCGGTCTGCTTGCACTGCACCACGCGCGTCACTCCAAACTGCCCCGCCCCAAGCTCCTTCTCACTCATCACATACTTCTTGTCCAGCCGCCCAAACTCCCGTCCAAGCACGCTCCCGCCCCCACTCCCAAAGAACCCTCTTTTCATCTGAGCCAGGCCCCTTTTAGCAAACCCTAGCAGCCCGCCCTTCTTGCTGGACTTGAAAAAGGAGGACTGGATTTCCTCCACTGTGCATGCTGCGTCCCCCTCCACTGCCCCCAACGCGTTCAGGTCCTCCGCGGAAAGCGAGGAGAGGCGGGAGATTTTCTTGTCTGCACCTGCGCTGCCCGCACCAGCAGCACCCCCACCACCACCAGCAGCACCACCACCACCAGCAGCAGAAGCAGATGCGCCAGGGCTATGCGGACTCCCGACACTCCCAGAGGAGCGGTGAGGGGAATGAGGGTCACTCTCAACAGAAGCACGTCTCGGTAAGGGCGCCCGGTGCGGCTGCTGCTGCAGGTGATACTGCTGCAGCGACTGCGATTGCGATCGCGCCAGAGGGGAGTGAGAAGGGTGTGACTGCCCCTGCCCCTGCCCCACGTATTTCCTCTCCACAGCCCCCCCTCCCAGGAGCGCACCCACGTCCATGCTAGTCCCTCTAGCAATCCGCCCCTTGGGTTCTCCCCTTCCTCCGTCTCCCCCTCGTTCTCCCCCTCGTTCCCCCTCTCTCTCTCTCCCACTGTCAGCACTGGCCTGTCTGGGAACCCCACCCCCTGGCCTCCCACCTCGCATTCTCTCCATCTCCCTCTCTCTCTCCCTCTCCCTCTCTCGCTCCCTGTCCTTCTCTCTCCCCCACCCAGCGTCCACACTAGCTTGCCTGGCGATACGCGGGGCTCCTCGCCTTGCCTCATCAGCCCTTGCCCTTTCCCTCTCTCTCTCCCTCTCCCTCTCCCTCTCTCTGTCCCTGTCCCTGTCCCTGTCCCTGTCCCTATCCCTGTCCCTGCATTCATCAACACTGGAGTGACGAGGAATTCTTTCCTTCCTCTCTTCCCACTCCCTCTCTCTCTCCCTCTCCCTCCTCTCCTCCCAATCTGTATCCCTCCCACTGTCAACACTCGCTTGACGCGCAATCCTCCCCTTCCTCTCGTCCCGTTCACCTACCCTCTCACCTCTCCTCTCCTCCCTCTCTCTCTCCCATCCCCCACCATCCACACTACCCTGCCTGGGAACCCGCGGAATCCTATCCCCTCCCCGCCTCTCCTCCCTATCCCTGTCCGGCCGCCCACCATCTACACTCCCTTGTCGAGGGACACGCGGGATTCTATCCCCCCGCCTTTCATCCCTCTCCCTCTCCGCGCCCCCACTGCCATCTACACTCGATTGACGGGGCACACGCGGGATTCTAGCCCCTTTTACTTCGTCCCTTTCCCCCCTACGCTCCACTCTTCCATCATCCCTCTCTCCCCGAACCTTCCTCTCACCCCTCCCCTCCTCCCTCTCCCGTTTCTCAAAACTGCTTTGCCGGCTCATCCTATGTCTCCTCTCTTCCGCCTCCTCCTCTTCATACCTTCTCAGCATAGCACCTCCCTCACTCGCTTGCCTAGGCAGCCTTCCCCCCCTCTCTGCCCTCTCTCCTCTCTCCCCTCCCCTTCCACCTCCACCCCTCTGCCTCTCCTCCTCTGTAAACGACCGCCTCCTGTTCCCCCTCACTCTCTCATCCCCGTCATAAGACTCCTCGCTAGCCACAGAAGAGCTCCTACCAGGAAAAACGGGCGGAAGACCAGGAGAAGCGCCCCCAGCAAGGGGGGGAAGGCCAGGGGGAAGACCAGGGGAAGCTCCCCCCCCAACAGGCGGAAGCCCCCCCCCAGACGCCCCTCTTCCCCCTCTTCTCCTCCCCCCGTCTTCATCCCAATCCGCCCGCCCGTCACCCTTCCCCCCTCCTATTCCTGGCTCTGTCAAACCCCTTCCACGCCTGGGGTCCAGGGGTAGGCTTTCCTGTCTCAGTGTTTCCATCCCAGGAACACCGGCGGCAGTGGCAGCAGCAGCATCGAGGTCTGTATCAAAAGCAGAGTCGCTGGTGGTTGAAATGCTTCGCTCTGAGAGTGACTTGCGCAGCACACGACCAGCTGGCGCTGCTGGGAGGGGGGAGAGGGGAGGGGAGGGGAGTCATGGGCAGCAGCAGCATTGAAGTCTGTCTCGAGTGTGGTACACGTTTTGAGTCGACTCAAAACACGAGGTCTGTTTCAAGCGTGCTAGATGTCACGGATATCAGCACTTGCTTGTTGAGACCACTCAAACACTGACCAGGGTTCAAAAATACGACCGTATTTTTTATTTTTTGCCGTAAATTACGGAATCGTAAATTACGGTCGTAAATTACGGTAAAAAACGGTAAATCGTTGTATTTTAATGTTGGTGCAAAAATACGGTCGTAAATTACGACCGAAATTTTGATACCGAGTTTGCAATAGCGAATTTCGGCGTTTCACAACCGTCACCCTGGGTCAGAAACATTTGTGCGGCCAAATGCACACGTGTTGGTTTTTTTTCCCGAGTCGCGCATGTCAGGTATTTCTCGAGGCGCGACATTTGGTTTTTTGGCGAACGGATTCCTGCTCTGTTGCCTTGACGAAATGTCAGTTTGCGCATTTCGCCGAAGCGCAAATATACAAATTTGCGCAATGCGGTAAACTGTACATTTGGCGAACCGTTGTCACCCGTCAACCCGTTTCGTCAGGTCGGTGGGACGATTCGCGAGCTTTTCGTTTTTTTCGCCCGCGTGCGCGACACAACCGAACTTTGCGCTGCGAAACCATTTTAACCAATAGCGTTAGCCCAATCCCCATCCCATCCCATCCCACCCCTTCTGCCTTTTCCTTTCGCCAAAGCAACACAACCAAATCTAGCAAGGCACAAAGAGCAGGGCAAACAACCTACTCGACAAGTACATCTTAGCTTAGTAGGCATTTTACTGCTGCAGTCAAGCAAGTGCAGTATTCCACCATGGTTAGACCGTTCTCGGAGGTGTGGGAGCACGTGACGAAGGTCACATCTCCTAACGGCGTAGTTATCGCGACATGCAGCTATTGCCCTGCTACCGTGACCCCAAATGCCACTCGTATTCGAGAGCACATCTACGGGACCCCTCGCTCAAAGGAGAAGAACGTGACGCCGTGTCCGTCCGAATTTGCCAAACGGCTACGAGAAGCCGCCGAAAGGGATCGGTCTTCCACACCGTCAAGTTCCAACCGTGCCTCCTCCACCTCCACAACGGTCGAGATGCCGCCCGCAAGGCGTTCTAGGCAGCGGGACATCCGCGATATGGCGGATTCCGTTGCCCGCGCGCGTTTGGACTACCTGTGGGCGGCAGTTGTGGCTGAAAATGATCTTGCCTTCAACGTCTCCAAGTCTCGTGCGCTACAGGCCTTCGTTGACGCGGCTGTCGTCTACGCGAAGCCCTACACACTCCCAACCCCTTACAAGGTGTCCGGATCTCTCCTCGACAAGCTAAGGGCGGACGCCGAGGAGCTTGTGAGGCCGTTGAAGGAGAGTTGGAAGACGACCGGGTGCAGTCTCTCGGTGGACGGGTGGACGTGCTTGAAGTCCCGCGCGATGGTGTGCGTCATCGCCCTCAACGACACCGCGCCCGTCATTGTGGACATCGTCGACTCGAAAACCGCGAAGAAAACGGGGGATTACCTCGCGGGTCTCATCGGCAAGTCCATCTCCGAAGTGGGGAAAGATCTCGTGGTCCAGGTCATTATGGACAACGCCTCTAACAACCGATCTGCGGCTGAGAAGCTTAAGGTGGAGTTTCCCGGGATTTTCTTCACCAATTGCGCCGCCCACTGCTTGGATCTTATGCTTCACGACTTTGGGAAAGTCAAGCCCATCAAACTCGTCTTGGAGCAAGTTCATCGGGTCGTCATGATGATCAAGGGCAGCGCCTCGGCCGTCGTTCTATTCCGCGAGCTTTTTACCAAGCTTTCGTTGGTGCGGCCGGGTGCGACACGTTTCGGCACGCAAGTCATCATGCTACGCCGATTCTTGGAGGTGAAGAAGGCGCTCCAGGAGATGGTCATCAGCGATGAATGGAAAGGGGTGGCGGTGGCGCAGAAGACCGAAGGGCAGGAGGTGCGGACGCTTCTTCTCGACGACGTATTTTGGGACTGCGTGTCTGCGGTGCTCGGCCTCCTCACGCCGGTTTATGAAGTGCTAAGGGTGGTTGACACGCGGGCGCAAATCATGGGCCAAATCTATGGCCTTATGATTGACATCACGGTCAAGACTCGGGTAGCTGCAGAGGCCGCCGGTAAGTGCAAGGCTATTTATTGGTTTTCCTACTCCTTGATCCAAAACTGTGATGCGAGATCATGCCGCGCATGCCAATCCCTACATTAACGAAAACCACCTCCATTCTCACCGTGAGCAGCGGCGGTGTTCGTCAAGAAGACGGGTCTGCTCTTGGCCAAGGACAAGAGCTCCTTCATCACATCCATCAAGGGCATCCTTGCCAAGCGTTGGGACGGGCAACTCCACAACTCCCTGCATGCCCTCGGATGGCTTCTTAATCCCCGCAACCAATATGCGGGGGAGGTGAGAACGGATGCGGAGGTGAGGAAGGGGGCCAACGAGGTGATTCATGCCCGGGTGGGGGATGTTGCCCAGCGCATCAAGCTGCAGACACAGCTGGTGCAGTTTCACAAGGGGGAGGGCCGCCTCGGGTCGGATGACGCGCTATGGGCAGCCAGGATTTTGGTGGCGGGGGGACACATGACGGATGCGGAGTGGTGGTGCATTTTTGGAGGGGAAGTGCAAGCGCTCCAGGAGCTGGCTGTGACGTCCCTTTCACAGCCAGTCACCTCGTCAGAGGTGGAGCGGTACTGGTCCGCCCTTGCACGAGTGCAGAGGCGCGACCGGAACCGCATCGCGGCCAAGAAGATGACTGATGTCACCTTCGTGGCCTTCACGAGGAGGGCCCGCGATGCGTTTGATCGCAAAACGCAGGCGCGTGCGAAGTTGTACGCCGATCTCACCGACGGAACCCTCAAAGAGGGCATTGCCGTTCTCCCGCCCGCACCAGTGGAGGCGGTTGATGATGGGGCTGAGGAGGAGGAGGAGGGAGCCGAGGTGCAGGAGTGCACCATCGACTGGAGCGTCTTTGGGAGCATTGGTAAGAAGAAGAAGAAGCGCGCGGGAGAGAGCTCCAAGAGGAAGAAGAAGCAGAAGGGAAAGGGGCCATGCAAGCAGAAGGGGAGAGGAAAGAAGCATGTGGAGGAGGAGGAGGCGGAGGATGACGAGGAGGAGGACGACGACGAGGAGGAGGAGGATGAGGAGGAGGAGGATGAGGAGGAGGAGGAGGAGGCGGAGGAGGAGGAAGGATAGGAGGTGGAGTGCCGGAGGAGTAGAAGGAGTTGGAGGAGTAGGATTGGAGGAAGAGGAGGGAATAGAATAGGTGCAGATTTGCCTAACTAGTGTAGTGTAGTTTCTTGTAGGCTTCTCTGCCATCGTTGTAAGCTGCCTAGAATTTTCTGAAAAAAAAAACAAGAAAAAAAAAAGTCCAACAAAAAAACGGCCGTATTTTTGCCAAAACCACCGTAATTTACAACCGTAAATTACGGACCATAATTTACGATTGCCGTATTTTTGAACCTTGACACCGACTCACCAGCTTTGGGGGGCAGCCCTCTGTCCCGCAGGTTTGCACCGCTGTCAGCACTGCGGGTGCCCTATATATAGTGTGCACTGTGTACCAATATTTAGACGCTAAAAAACACCCCATGCTCACCAGCTTTAGGGGGCAGCCCTCTGTCCCGCAGGTTCGCACCGCTGTCAGCACTGCGGGTGCTGTAGATGCCGCGGCTATCATCGCCTTGCATGCTCCCCTTTCCTTTCTTCAGCCTCCTGTTCCAAGCCCCCTCTCCCTCCTCTTCCTCATCCCACTCCTCTTCCTCCTCTCCTTCCGTCCCTTTCCATCCCCTTTCCCCCTTCCCCATCCCTTCCGCATACCCATCTGCACCAATCCCCCGCTCCTCATACCCCTCCGCCCTCATTCTCTCTGCGCCTCCCTCTTCATCCGAGCCTGCTTCCGAACCATCACCCAAGCCTTCACCCGAGCCTAGGCTGTCATCCCGCCGGTAGCGTTCTCTGTGCCTCTCCTCCTCCCCACCGTCGCTCTCACTTTCGAGGGGAGATTCATTACCCTCCTCCGCCTCTCCCACCCTCTCCTCCCCCCTCCTCGCTCCCCCTCTCCCCTTCCCATTCCATTCCTCCTCCCCGTCCTCATAGTCCTCTCTGCCGTTGTCCCCCCTCCCCTCTCCCCTTCCCTCCCCCTCTTCTTCCTCGCCATCTTCCCCCCTTCTAAACTTCCCTGCCCTTCGTTTCTCATCCTTTCTCCCCTGCCCCCTGCCCCCACTCCCACCATACTCGTTATAACCTCCAGACTCTGAATTCTCACTTTCGTCCGATTCACGATCCTTGTGGTCACGCCCCTTGTAGTCCAATTCGTTAAAGTCACGGTCATCCAGGTCCCTTTCGTGATCTCTGTCAATCTCCCCACCGCGCCTCCTTCCTTCCCCATGCCTACCCCTCTCCCTCTCGTACTCTCTCTCCCTCCCATACTCTCTCTCCCGCTCCCAATCCCCCTCCTCCTCTCCTCTCCTCCCCTCATCTCGCCGCCGCCCCTCCCTCTCCCTCCCTGCCCGCCCCGCGCTTCCGCCAGGCGGTGGAGTGCCACGTGGCGGTCTCTCCGCCTCTGTGCTGTTTTGCCGCCGAAACGACCTCCCCCCGACACCACCGCCCTTACTACCGCTGCTGATCCCCGCCCGATCATCGAATCCCGGCGACGCTGCGCCGTGCATTCCGGGCGGCGTAAGTGGCGAGCCGCGGCCGCTACACGACATAGATCTACCGGCTGTGGAAAACGCGGATCCCGATCCACCTCTTCCGCTTCCGCTTCCGCCGCTCGCGGAAATGCGACCGCCGCCGTCGCCCTTACTAGGCGTGCTCGGCCT